GGGGATATTCAGAACCAATCTGAGAGAAAAATAGGCCTGGAGAGGAAATTACCACAATGAGAAATGAGGAGCCCAACTCTCTCTTGGATTGAACTGTCCCCAGACACCTGATCTACATATCTAAGTGACCTTTTCCACTTATTATCTTCATTTTGAGCACTTTGCAAATTTGAGGAGCTGTGGGATAGGGTACCCCAGGTTGGGTTGCTGTGTTCTTCATACTAGACTGTAAAAAATGTAAGGAGGCAAATGGCAGAAAATCTCTTGATGATGGTTTTATAAATGAAACACCGACTTAACTAACATTATGCAAAACCAAACAAACAAGACCAAAATCTAATTATGTTCCTTTATGTTTAATATAGGTAGAACTTTCTATGTAAATTAGGCAGTAATTATTTTTACTAGAACAGTAACATCACTTCTCCCCTGCCTTTTTTTTTCTAACAGCTTTGTTGAGATATTGTTCACCTATAATAAAATTCGTCCTTTTGAAGTGTATTTCTAAAGCTGTGCAAAGACAACATCTAATTCCAGAGCATGTTCATTACCTCCCCCATGAAACCCGCAGCCATTAGCAGTTGCTCCCTATTTCCTCCCCCAGCCCCTCAACCACTAACACACTTTCTGTTTCTATGGATTTGCCTATTGTGGATATTTCTTTTTCTTTTCCTTCAGCTTTTCTCATCTAATAGGTACTTAAGAAAATTGGAGAAGAGGACAGAAAGTGAAAATGGATGCATGTAACTCTTATTTGTGGTCTGGTGTACTTAGAACTGAATATTTTCCCCCTGGTTCCTTGGAAGAGGCATTTAAAACAAACAAAAATAATAACAACAGTTTCATATAAATAAAATCATGTAATATGTAGTATTTTTTGTTGGCTTCTTTTTGTTGTGTATGTTGGCTTCTTTAGCTTAATGCATTAAAAGTTCATCCATTTTGTAGCATGTAACAATGCCTTGTTTCTTTTTGTGGCTGAACAATATTCTCTTGTATAGATATACCACCTTTGTTTATCCATTTATCACTTAGTGGACATTTAGGTTGTTTTCACTGTTAAGAATAATGCTCCTCTGAATACATGCTCGTATGCATGCACAAGGTTTTGTGTGGACATATATTTTCAGTTCTCTTGGGTATATACTTAGGAGTGGAATTGCTGGGTCGTATGGTAACTCTATGTCTAACTTTTTGAGGCACTACTAAATTATTTTCCAAAGAGCAGCACCATTTTACATTCTCATCAGCTATGTAGGAGGGTTCTAATGTCTTCATATTCTTTTCTATGTCTATTATAATTATCAGTCTTTTTTATTATAACCATCTTAGTAGATGCAAAGTGTTATTGTGGTTTTGATTTGCATTTTCCTAATGGCCATTGATGTTGAACATCTTTTCTTGTGCTGCTTGGCTATTTATATATTTTCTTTTGGGAAATGTCTATTTAACTTCTTGGCCCATTTTGCATTGGGTTAACAGTTTTTTATTGTTGATTCATGTAAGGTCTTCACATATTCTGGATACTAGTCGCTTAGTTGCAAGTATTTTCTCTCTTTGTGGAGGTTGTCTTTTCATAATAGTGTGCTTTGAAGCACAGAGTTTTTAATTTTGAAGTCACATTTTTAAATTATTCTTTGGTTGCTGTGTTTTTAAGTGACCATTGCCTAATCCAAGATCACAGATTTACTTTTCTGAGTTTTATGGTTTTAGCTCTTACGTTTAGGTCGGTCATCCATTTTCAGTTAGTTTTATATATGGTGTGAGGTAGGGGTCCAACCTCATACCTTTGCATGTGTTTGTATTTGCATTTATTTATTCAAATTTAAAGATTTGAGAGAGAAATTTCTCATCAAATGAAATGCCCATTGCTACTCTTTGTGAATTGTTGTTTCATGATTTTGGGGAGGATATATTTACTGTGTTCATCTAAAGACTACATTTACCTACATTCTCACCAAATGTGGTTTCATTTCTGTCTCTATTTTGCTTATTGGATTCTGAAAAGCACTCATGGATGCAGTTTGAATCTACTTACTAGGTTTTTTCCCTTAATTTGCAATCTCACCTCTTCAGCTCCAGTATAGAGAATGCCAAGAACTTCTAAGTCTCTATCAAAAATACCTGTCAGAACAGCAGGAGAAGCTCACCATGTCTCTCTCAGAACTTGGTGCTGCTAGAATGCAGGAACAACAGGTAAGCGTCTTTATTCTTACCTTTTCTTGTCTTTGATGGATCAGCAGGATGTCAGAAGAGTCGTGTGCCTTTTTCTTTAATTGTCTCACAGTATATAATATTGTCTTAAAACATGCAAATACAGCATGTGCTTGAGCTGGTGTCTATTACTTCACCTCTTTCCTTTTCCTCTCCTGTTCCTGGGGCCCAGAGGTCAGGAATGATTTCTCTAAGCAGGTTGTGGGTCAGTGGGGAAGCTCCTGGTCGTATGAAAGCACGGCAGGAAAGTTAAAGGAAACTCAGTGCTCTGTCGCTTAATGAAGCTCGGGTGGGCTGTTTGTTACTCGTTGTCTTTATGGAAAACACTAGCAAGCCTTTCCTAAGTCATGTTTACATTTTTAGAATTATAAAAGTGACAGGGTAACTTATAAAAGTTTTAATTGGATAAAATTGGAATATTTTGCATGATTTTAAGTTGTGTATATATATGTATATATACATGTATGTATGTATGTATGTATTAATTGCATACATATGAGCGTGTTTAGAGATAAACATTTACAAACGTATCACCAAATGGTATATAATTAAATTATTATAATTTAATATTATAATTATTATAATTAATATTATAATTATATGAATTTACTATAATTAAATTATATAATTAAATGAATGTTCAGAGTCCTGCCAGTTGTGATGTGAGACAAGTTTTAAAGACTTAATTCTTGCCCTCTAACAAGTGATACTTGATGTCATTTCCATATCCACATGAGTTTAAATCTTCAGATGGATAAAGATAAGCCTTATATATTAAAATATTTTACAAAAAAAACACTGTAGTAGGGTGGAAGTCATTCATATGAAATATTAAAGCATGGATAATGTACTAAAGTGTTATCCTCCCCCTTTGAATAGTATCAAGTCCTGAATGGTTTTTGCAACCCTTCTAAAGAACACCATTACTATTCAAACTAGAGACAACTGTCTCAAATGGATTAACAGTTCGGGCCAAGAAAACCAGTTTTGAACCTAAAGTTTGGACATATGGAAGTTGTTTTTAAAAAAAGAAATAATTTTGCTGAAATGTGGTAAAAGTTAGAGTTTTAGCATATGCTTTTCTTTTGAAGTCACAACATTTATAAAAAATGGCCAAAGTATGAATGGTTTACTTGCATTCTAATTTTAAATACTTTCTTTTGTTCTGTTTTTCTGAAAATCTAGGCTATAAAATGATGCAGAGGAAGGTGGAGTTAACCTTGATTGTTTATCTGGATTTTTCCTGCCACTTTAAAAGTGGCAGGCAGTATTTAAGGTGGGCTTTGCCTATTGCTTTCTTGAGTGGGCTAGAGAGAACTGTAACATGATCAGATTTTTGACCTTTGTTTTTGTATTTTTACTCCCTCTGCGTGACATAGGTGAGTTAGAGGGTACAAAAAGCAAGGGCAACCCATTGTCAAGGTAATGGGAGGGGAGGCAGAGGGGCCTTTACATGGCCAGTATAGAGTCTTATGACCTTAAGGATATAGACTGAGAGTCAAGAAATTGTCACTAGGAAGGAGGCTCTAAAGACATCTAGATATGGAGGCCTAACCCTTTTTCTATCTACTTTTGAAATTAGGGGAAAGCAAAGCTTTCTCAGATATTATTGTTTTGTTTAAGGTAGTGATTCATGGAGGTTTCACTAGAGACCAGTCATATTAACACTGCCTTTCTTAACCTTAACTTTGAGGGGCAAAACTAAAAAAAAAAAATTAAAAAAAAAAAATCACACTACTAGAATGAAAATGTTGGCCAAGTGTATGGAGACAACATTGTACCCTCTAAAAGAGATACTTTTGAATTTTCATTTTGACTTAATAATATGAAACTATTAAAACCATGTTTTCAAGAAGTGCCTGGTCATCAAGTTTTAGATTATGTCCTATATACAATGAAAATGAAATTGAGAGATAAAGGCCACTCATAGGCCCTGCCATTTGAAACTACAGAGGACAAATAAGTTTCATTTTGAATACCAAGTAGAGATTGTCACTTGGTTTTCTATACTATCTGGTTTGTTCTATGTGACAGGCTTCTCTTTGCTGAGCAAAGGTAAGTATGTTCTCTTCTTTCCTTATGGGAACTGGGTACATTTGGCCAACAAACCTACTTCCTGTCAGGAAGGGCATCATTGTGAAGACTCAGCCTGAATGAGAACGTGGTTGAATTAAATGTCCTCTTCGTGTGCTCACCAGTGGACTGGGCTCATCTCTATAACAACAAGTTTCTTGTTCTTTTTTAATGATTGTTTATTCATCCATCTCTGTCACCAAGCTTTTTTGAAAATAGGCATCATGATGTGTTGGTCTTTGTACACTAGAAGTCTAATATAGGGTTTGGCTTAATATAGTTTTAATTTTTATTTAATAAGTATTTGTATGGTACATACTGTGCGCCAAGTACTGTTCTAAGCTCTGAACATATATTAAATCATTTAGTCCTTACAATAACCCAATGAAGTGATTATCCCTGTTTTGCAGAAGAGGAACCCCAGGCAAAGAGAATGAATAGCTTACCTAGGTCATACTGCTAGGAGGTTGGCAAAGCCAAGATATGAACCCAACCAGTCTGGTTCCGTAGTTTCTTGAAGAAAATGAAACAAGAAAAACTGGAGATAGCTAAAAAATATTTGCTTTAGGTGTCTTTGTTTCTATGACTAATCCTTGTTGGCTCTTAATCTGATATACAGGTTTTTGAATACCAGAGCAAAAATATAGTTGAGATAGTAGGAAACTCTATTTGCTTTTCCTATGAGTAGCCACAATGTCAGATAAACATAAAATTTTATTTGCTCTCAAAATAAGTTTTTTTTTTTTTTTTAAAAAGCTCATCTCCAGATGTTGTTATGGAGATAGCAGCAGTTCATTCTTCATGAGGCATTCATTTGACTTTGAGAGACTTTGTTGGTTGCCATCTGGCTTAAATTGCATATTATAGCTTTTCCTCTTAGTTTTATTAAATCCACAGTTCTTCAGAAGAATACCCTGGCTTATGATTTTCTTTTTCGACTTCTGCCATTTCCTTGAAAAGAAATTGCTCCATTTACAAGGTGAATCTTTTCCTTGTATTTTTTTCCTTATTCTCTTTCTTGCTTTGCTTCAAAGATACATGCATTTTACATTCATTTTAGAATTTATTTAGCATTTCATGTTTTTCCTTGTAGATTCTAGAAAGGTTCTTTTTTTCTTTTTTTAAATTTTGCGGTTTAATTTTTTATTTTTGTCAATTATAGTTGACATTCAATATTATTTTATATTAGTTTCAGGAGTACAGCATAGTGGTCAGACATTTACAATTATGTTATTTATGAAGTGATCCCCTGATTAGTCTAGTACCCACCTGGCACTGTACATAGTTATTACAATATTGTTGACTGTGTTCCCTGTGCTGTAGTTTACATCCCCATGACTATTTTTAACTACCAATTTGTACTTCTTACTCCCTTCACNAGGGTCTGGCCTCGAGGTTAATGGCTACTGGTGATTACTGAAGGTTAGTATGGCTGTTGCAATGTCTTAAAATAAGACAACAGTGAAGTTTGACCTATCGATTGACCCTTCTTCTCACATATTTCTCCATAGCATGTGATGGTGTTTGATAGCATTTTACCCACTGAAGAACTTCTTTCAAAATTAGAGTCAGTCCTCTCAAACCCTGATGCTGCTTCATTGACTAAGTTTATTAATACTCTAAATTCTTTATTGTCACTTCGTCTTCACAGCATCTTCACCAAGAGTAGATTTCATCTCAAGAAACCACTTCCTTTGCTCATCCATAAGAAGCAACTCCTCATCCACTAAAGTTTCACTAAAGTTTTAGCATGAGACTTCATAATTCAGCTCCACTTCTAATTCTAATTCTCTTGCTATTTCCACCATATCTGCAGTTACTTCCTCTGCTGCAGCCTTGAACCCCTCAAAGTCATCCATGAGAGTTGGAATCAACTTCTTCCAAACTCCTGTTAATGTTGATATTTTGATCTCTTCCCTTGGACCACGAATGTTTTTAATGACATCTGGAATGATGAATCCTTTCCAGAAGGTTTAAATTTCCTTTGCCCAGATCCATCAGAGGAATCACTGTCTACGGCAGCTATTGCCTTACGAAATGTATTTCTTAAATAATAAGTATTCAAAGTCAAAATAACTTCTTGATCCATGGGCTTTAAAAGGATGTTGTGTTAGCCATGAAAACAACATTAATCTCCTTGTATGTCTCCATCAGAGCTCTTGGGTGACTAGGTGCATTGTCAATGAACAGTAATGTTTTGAAAGGAATACTTTTCCTGAGCAGTAGGTCTTAACAGTTGGCTTAAAGTATTCAGTAAACCATGTTGTAAACAGATTTGCTGTCATCCAGGCTTTGTGATTTCATTTAAAGAACACAAGCAGAGTAGATTTAGCATAATTTTTAAGGGCTGTAGGATTTTCAGAATGGTAAATGAGCACTGGCTTCAACTTAAAATCACCAGCTGCACTAGCCCCTAACAAGAGAGTCAGCCTGTCCTTTGAAGTTTTAAAAGTATTGCCTTCTGCTCTCTAGCTGAAAGTCCTAGATGGCATCTCCTTCCAATATAAGGCTGTTTTGTCTACACTGAAAATCTGTTTTTAGTGCAGCCACTTTCATAAATTTTCTTAGCTAGATCTTGTGGATAACTTGCTACAGCTTCTACATTAGCATTTGCTGCTTCACCTTGTACTTTTATGTTATGGAGATAGCTTTTTTCCTTAAATTTCACGAACCAACCTCTGCTAGCTTCATATTTTTCTTCTGCAGCTTCCTCACCTCTCTCAGCCTTCATAGAATTAAAGAGAGTTAGGGACCTGCTCTGAGTTAGTCTTTGACTTAAGGGAGCTTTGTGGCTGGCTTGTTCTTCTGTCTAGACCACTAAAACTTTCTCCTTATCAGTAATAAGGTTTGTTTCACTTTCTTATCATTCATGTGTTCACTATAGTAGCACTTTTAATTTCTTCCAAGAA